TCCGCATTGCTTTGGATTGTGATCGAGCAGAACCTGTCTTCAGCATGGACACATCTTTTGGAATGGTGGCCGAAGCATGAAGGGGCATAAGAATGTTTTTAGCATATCTGGCACGTAAATACCTTGCAAGGCCGGCTACAAAGGTGTCCTGCGAACGCCTGTTCTCAATTTCTGATGACATTGTAAATAAGAAGTGGGCAGCATTATCTCCTGCAAATGTAAACCAACTTGTTTGTCTTAGCGATTGGCTGCACAAGAAGTAGGACTGAGTGGATTTGTAGGCGCTAAAGTTTTTGCATTGTTTTGTTTTTGAGTGCAGTTATGTAACACAAAAAAATTTACATTTGTAAGTTGCATTTTCACGATAAAGAGATTGCACTACAGTACTTGTATGAGGTGAACTGAAATACTATTACAGTGCAAATATTTGTAATCAATATAATATATATAAAGTGAGCAGTGTACCCTTAGTATTCCGTTGTAATTGAAATCAATATATTTGAAAATGTGAAAAAAAAATCCAAAAATATTTAATAAATTTCAATTGGTATTTTATTAACTGTGCGATTAAAACTGATTTCATTATGATTAATTTTTTTGAGTTAACCATGAGTTAACTGCAATTAATCAACAGTCCTCCTAGACACCAAATTGCCTCCCCATTTATGATCTATCAGACAGGGGAAACTAAGTCAAGGCTGTACTCTAATAGCCCAACTGACTGTTGCCCTGCTCCTTGAATAGTCATTTTCACCAGTGCAAAGTGAAATGCAAAGTGGGGATGAAATTCTATTATCATTCTGATTTGGTAACATTTTGCACTCACTTTGCATTGGTATACATTAATGTCCAAAGAGAACTGGGTTGCAACTGCTCGGTTTTACTCTTTTAAAAAAAAAAACGAAACAATCCCCAAGATATTGAAATCTTTGTTTTTAACTTCTAAATGTTTCATCTTTCTGCTGCTGTGGTAGTGACTTCATGATGACTGTCTAGGAAATGCTTATGCCACACTCATCACCATGACATTTGAATATGTATTTTGGAGCCACTGCTTAGTGATTCCTACCTGCTTAACATCTTATGTGTAATCTGGCCATGGGAAGGAGGGTGGGATTTAATGCAGCTTGGTATTTACAATTGCAACTACCTTCTTACAGATAGGGATGCCTCCTCAGAGACCAAAGATATGTTAGCTTCATCAGACACCCAAAAGAGACGGTAAAATCTATCTAAAGGATTTGGTACCGACCCCTAGGGCTCCATGAACCCTAAGGTATGTCTACACAGCAAGTGGAGGTGTGATTGTAGCATAGGTAGGCATCCCTGTGATAGCTTTAATCTAGTTAGTACAGGTAGCTAACAACAGTAGTGTAGACATAGTGGCACAGGCTTCAGCATGGCCTAGCAACCTGTGCCCCAGGATCCCCAGTGGGCTTGTAATCAGGTGGCTGGCCCATGTGAAAGGCGATTCCACCACATCCACATTACTCGTTACCTATGCTAGCTAGACTAAAGTTAGAGTGGATAGGTCTCCCTGTGCCACAATCACATCTTCCCTTGCAGTGTAGATACATCCGAATTTATCCATCTATCGCAGCTCTCCTGAAGGTAGCTCGTTGCTTCCTCTTCCCCTTCTCTTCATCCAGTTCTTGTGGCACAAGTATACTTCCAGCATCATGTAGTGACATAGGACATCGGTTTAAACCCTGAAAGGGATTCCATAGTTTGAAATGCTGCATTTCAGACAGACAGCAGGGAATAGCAAAACTGTATGGAAATGAGGAGATCTAGATTCAAGTCCTATTTTTACCATCAACTTGCTTTGTGTGATATCCACTTCACTGGATTTCTCTGTTCTATTTTTCCATTGTGTAAATAAAGGGAAAAGTGACACTTAGGCACTATCAAAAATCTAGGGATGCAAATTACTGTATCAATGATTACTGTTTTGTTATTCAAAACATGCCATTTCCCTTATCCCCTTCGTAATGCTGGATTATGTTATGGAAACAAAAGTATTAGATTTCCTAAAAAGAAGGATTTCCTTAGTTAGGCAGATGCTTTAACACATAGAATCATAGAATATCAGGGTTGGAAGGGACCCCAGAAGGTCATCTAGTCCAACCCCCTGCTCGAAGCAGGACCAATTCCCAGTTAAATCATCCCAGCCAGGGTTTTGTCAAGCCTGACCGTAAAAACCTCTAAGGAAGGAGATTCTACCACCTCCCTAGGTAACGCATTCCAGTGTTTCACCACCCTCATAGTGAAAAAGTTTTTCCTAATATCCAATCTAAACCTCCCCCACTGCAACTTGAGACCATTACTCCTCGTTCTGTCATCTGCTACCATTGAGAACGGTCTAGAGGCATCCTCTTTGGAACCCCCTTTCAGGTAGTTGAAAGCAGCTATCAAATCCCCCCTCATTCTTCTCTTCTGCAGACTAAACAATCCCAGCTCCCTCAGCCTCTCCTCATAAGTCATGTGTTCTAGACCCCTAATCATTTTTGTTGCCCTTCGCTGGACTCTCTCCAATTTATCCACATCCTTCTTGTAGTGTGGGGCCCAAAACTGGACACAGTACTCCAGATGAGGCCTCACCAATGTCGAATAGAGGGGAACGATCACGTCCCTCGATCTGCTCGCTATGCCCCTACTTATACATCCCAAAATGCCATTGGCCTTCTTGGCAACAAGGGCACACTGCTGACTCATATCCAGCTTCTCATCCACTGTCACCCCTAGGTCCTTTTCCGCAGAACTGCTGCCTAGCCATTCGGCCCCTAGTCTGTAGCGGTGCATTGGATTCTTCCGTCCTAAGTGCAGGACCCTGCACTTATCCTTATTGAACCTCATCAGATTTCTTTTGGCCCAATCCTCCAATTTGTCTAGGTCCTTCTGTATCCTATCCCTCCCCTCCAGCGTATCTACCACTCCTCCCAGTTTAGTATCATCCGCAAATTTGCTGAGAGTGCAATCTACACCATCCTCCAGATCATTTATGAAGATATTGAACAAAACCGGCCCCAGGACCGATCCCTGGGGCACTCCACTTGACACTGGCTGCCAACTAGACATGGAGCCATTGATCACTACCCGTTGAGCCCGACAATCTAGCCAGCTTTCTACCCACCTTATAGTGCATTCATCCAGACCATACTTCCTTAACTTGCTGACAAGAATACTGTGGGAGACCGTGTCAAAAGCTTTGCTAAAGTCAAGAAACAATACATCCACTGCTTTCCCTTCATCCACAGAACCAGTAATCTCATCATAAAAGGCGATTAGATTAGTCAGGCATGACCTTCCCTTGGTGAATCCATGCTGGCTGTTCCTGATCACTTTCCTCTCATGCAAGTGCTTCAGGATTGATTCTTTGAGGACCTGCTCCATGATTTTTCCAGGGACTGAGGTGAGGCTGACTGGCCTGTAGTTCCCAGGATCCTCCTTCTTCCCGTTTTTAAAGATTGGCACTACATTAGCCTTTTTCCAGTCATCCGGGACTTCCCCCGTTCGCCACGAGTTTTCAAAGATAATGGCCAATGGCTCTGCAATCACAGCCGCCAATTCCTTCAGCACTCTCGGATGCAACTCGTCCGGCCCCATGGACTTGTGCACGTCCAGCTTTTCTAAATAGTCCCTAACCACCTCTATCTCCACAGAGGGCTGGCCATCTCTTCCCCATTGTGTGATGCCCAGCGCAGCAGTCTGGGAGCTGACCTTGTTAGTGAAGACAGAGGGAAAATAAGCATTGAGTACATTAGCTTTTTCCACATCTTCTGTCACTAGGTTGCCTCCCTCATTCAGTAAGGGGCCCACACTTTCCTTGGCTTTCTTCTTGTTGCCAACATACCTGAAGAAACCCCTCTTGCTAGCTGCAGCTCTAGGTGCGATTTGGCCCTCCTGATATCATTCCTACATGCCCGAGCAATATTTTTATACTCTTCCCTGGTCATATGTCCAACCTTCCACTTCTTGTAAGCTTCTTTTTTATGTTTAAGATCCGCTAGGATTTCACCATTAAGCCAAGCTGGTCGCCTGCCATATTTACTATTCTTTCGACTCATCGGGATGGTTTGTCCCTGTAACCTCAACAGGGATTCCTTGAAATACAGCCAGCTCTCCTGGACTCCTTTCCCCTTCATGTTAGTCCCCCAGGGGATCCTGGCCATCCGTTCCCTGAGGGAGTCTAAGTCTGCTTTCCTGAAGTCCAGGGTCCTTATCCTGCTGCTTACCTTTCTTCCCTGCGTCAGGATCCTGAACTCAACCAACTCATGGTCACTGCCTCCCAGATTCCCATTCACTTTTGCTTCCCCCACTAATTCTACCCGGTTTGTGAGCAGCAGGTCAAGAAAAGCGCCCCCCCTAGTTGGCTCCTCTAGCACTTGCGCCAGGAAATTGTCCCCTACGCTTTCCAAAAACTTCCTGGATTGTCTATGCACTGCTGTATTGCTCTCCCAGCAGATATCAGGAAAATTAAAGTCACCCATGAGAATCAGGGCATGCGATCTAGTAGCTTCCGTGAGCTGCCAGAAGAAAGCCTCATCTACACCGGACCAGGGGGATGAGGGTCTATAGCAGACTCCCACCACTACATCACTCTTGTTGCACACACTTCTAAACTTAATCCAGAGACACTCAGGTTTTTCTACAGTTTCGTACCGGAGCTCTGAGCAGTCATACTGCTCCCTTACATACAGTGCTACTCCCCCACCTTTTCTGCCCTGCCTGTCCTTCCTGAACAGTTTATAACCATCCATGACAGTACTCCAGTCATGTGAGTTATCCCACCAAGTCTCTGTTATTCCAATCACGTCATAGTTCCTTGACATCACCAGGACCTCCAGTTCTCCCTGCTTGTTTCCAAGGCTTTGTGCATTCGTATATAAGCACTTGAGATAACCTGTTGATCGCCCCTCATTCCTAGTATGAGGCAGGAGCCCTCCCCTCACAGACGTTCCTGCCTGTGCTTCCTCCCGGTATCCCGCTTTCCCACTTACCTCAGGGCTTTGGTCTCCTTCCCCCGGTGAACCTAGTTTAAAGCCCTCCTCACTAGGTTAGCCAGCCTGCTGGCAAAGATGCTCTTCCCTCTCTTCGTAAGATGGAGCCCGTCTCTGCCCAGCACTCCTCCTTCATGGAACACCATCCCATGGTCAAAGAATCCAAAGCCTTCTCTCCGACACGACCTGCGTAGCCATTCGTTGACTTTGACGATTCGACGGTCCCTACCCAGGCCTTTTCCTTCCACGGGAAGAATGGACGAGAACACCACTTGCGCCTCCAACTCCTTTATCCTTCTTCCCAGAGCCACGTAGTCCGCAGTGATCCGCTCAAGGTCATTCTTGGCAGTATCATTGGTGCCCACGTGGAGAAGCAGGAAGGGGTAGTGATCCGAGGGCTTGATGAGTCTCGGCAGTCTCTCCGTCACATCGCGAATCTTAGCCCCTGGCAAGCAGCAGACTTCTCGGTTTTCCCGGTCATGGTGGCAGATAGATGACTCAGTCCCCCGGAGGAGAGAGTCCCCGACCACCATCACCCGCCTTCTCCTCTTGGGAGTGGTGGTCGTGGAACCCCCAACCTCAGGACATCGCATCTCATGCCTTCCAACCAGCGGAGTCTCCTTCTGCTTTCTCGCCCCAGACATATCATCTGGTCCACTCTCCGCAACGGTACCTGTGGAGAGAACATGAAAGCGGTTAGTTACCTGTGTCTGTGTTACTGGAACCCGGACATTCCGCTTACCTCTTCTGGAGGTCACATGTTGCCAAGCTTCTTCACTGGCCTCTTGGCTCCTCTGTGCAACCTGCTCTATATCTTTAGAGCTTTGTGCCCGTAGATGGGTTTGTAGGATCAAGCTGCTGAGATACTATGGTGATGGGAGCTATAAAGTGCCTTGTTGTAGAGATGTGACTCATAAACAGACAGTCACCTGGCTATTAGAAGCACGTCACATACTAAGGTAACAGCAAATGCTTGTCTAATGTAACGTCTGATGTCTAATGACAATTTGTAAATTGTCATTAGTCTATGATAGTAGATATATTTTCATGCAATGATGCTCAAACTGCACTGGGGATTTCATAATATAGAAATGGTACATAAATTAGAATCACTGAGGAATGATGGGTATATTAGTATAACCAGTGTGCCACAGCTCCATCACGACACACTGCTAGTGCTCAGAGATGACAATGCTGTGAATGGCTGCAATAGAACTAGGTATGAAACTCTGATAGGTCCCTTTAGTTCAGGTTCCACAAATGACACTACCATCTGGCTTTTGACACTGTCTGCAGCCAAGGACTTGTCTGTTATGGGCTCAGGGTTTTAGACGCCTTAAAAACCATCGCTGGACCTAGATTTCAAGTAGGGGATGTGTCCTGAAGAAAACTGATCACAGCCTCATCAGAAATAACTCCATAGTAAAAGCTCACCTAGTCTTCAATGTCGCAGAAGCACCAGCAAACTCAGACCATGGACTAGTTGTTGCTCAGCTCTCAATGCATCTTTCAACTCCTCGCAAGCCAGATGTCCACTAACACTACAATGTTCAGCATCTTTCTGAGGATCCTGTTGAGCCATGAAATACACACACAGGGTGTTGAGGATCACCTACATAACCTCAAACTATGTGGAGATTGCCTGGAGTGGTATATGCTGTATCACATGCCAGCATTGGAATAATTGGCTTTAGACTGTTATGCAAGAAACCATGGCTTTCTGAAGAGGTGTTTGATATATTAGAAAAAAGGCAGATGTATGTAAGCAGGGAGATGTCCAAGAATGTAAACATCTCAATGGTATTTTCCAGGCCATGGCAAAACATGACATGAGATCTATGTCAACTGCCTGGCTGACGAAGCAGAGGATGGCCTAAACAACAACAATCTGTGTCCTGCCTACGGAGTCATCATGCACCTGTCTGGCAACCATAAACAAACTTCTAACATCCGCATTATGAAACCAGATGGATCTCCCTACTCATCGACGAATGAGCTCCTGAACAGATAGAAGACAAATTCTGAAAGCATGCTGAACCATGGACTTGCAGATGTCTGTATAGAGCTATGGGATCTGGCAAATTGAACAGTTGCAGATCCAGGGATGAACGCTGATACATCATCACTCGGGGAAGTACAAGAGGCCACCCAAAATGGTCCATTACACAATGGACATGCTGTTGGACCTGATGGTATTCCACCTGAGCTGTTCAAAGGTGCCTTGGAACCAGCAAGCATCAGCCTGCATCAACTGTTCTTGTAAGTGTGGGCATTACGCAAAGTACCATCAGAATGGAAAGACAGCATCATAGTGTCCCTGTACCAAGGGCAATGTCAAGTGTGGCAACTACAGGCCAGTTTCACTTATCGGTCTCTGGAAAGGTCTGCTTATGTTCTGCTGGGTAGGATGCAGCTGCTCGTTAACAGACATTGTCCACAGCAATCAGGTTTCTCTGCAGGGTAGTCCATAATGGACACTATCCATACCCTCAGCTTCTGGCTGAACTGCACAGAGAATTTAACTTCCTGCTTTGTGTGGCATATATCGACATCAAAGTGGCTTTTAATTCAGTTGAGATGTCAGCACTTCAGCTCACACTGAAAGGAATCGGGTTCCAAACACTCTGCTAAATCTGGTGCACAATCTTCACACCAGTACTGGTGCAAGGGTGTGCATTAGTTCATGCCTTTTGCCATGTTTCTACACTAGTTAAGCTGTGCAGCAGGAATGCATTCTCATTCTGGCACTATTCTGTCCAGGTATCAACTGGATATAAGGACTTGCTGATGCACAAGTCAGAATCAGGGTTGGTCAAACAGTCTTGGTTGGTAAAAACTATGTTGACAATGCTGCCTGGCTTGTAGAGAAGTCAGAGAATTTTTAGCCCTGCTTTCCAAGGTCTCCAAGATATTGCTTGGGGTTGAACATCTCATGAGAAGACCAAGGTCCAGAACCTCAGAATCTGGAGCTGGGCCACCAGAAGCCCCAGGGTAGGTGGGACCTGTTTATGTCACAATATTCCCATTTATAAACATGGGATAGTGTTGCTTGCCTTTCTTTTTTAATAACTTTTGAGGTCTAGCAATGGAAAAATGCTATATAAGAGCTAATAGGCTCTGTGGCCTTTTTTGTGATGAACACAAACCATGTGGCTTAATGGCTCAAAACTAGAGTAAGGTAAGGTAAAAGGATTACACACACTATTAATCTTAAAGCAAGCATTTGCTTCCAGAATTTATCAGTATAAAAACCAGTGCATTGGATCAATTTAAATGCACTATCAAGCACTTAACCTGAAGTAATTTAATTGCAATATTAAAATGCTTGCTGTGTCAACTAGTGTTCGTGATATAATGTATATGTTACAGATAAACTAATCCCATGTGAGACATCCTATAAAATAAACAGAATTATTACAAATTCGAAACAGTTTTTCATAAACATTTTGGGTTAGAGTTTTAAAAAAGCCATCATTTAGGGCTTGTCAACACTTAAAATGCTGTAACAGTGCAGCTGCGCCGCCGTAGCACTTCAGTGAAGACACTAACTAGGCCAATAGGAGTGCTTCTCCAGTCAACATAAGTTATCCACCTCCCTGAGAGGTGGTAAATAGGTTGATGAGAAAATTCTCCTGTCGACATAGCAAGCACGGGGGGGTTGGTCAGTTTAAGTGTGTCATTCAGGGATGTAGATTTTTCACATCCCTGAATAACATAATGATACGAACCTAATTTCCTAGTGTAGAGCAGGCCTGAGTAACCAGCTAACCAGTCTTAAGGCTTCCTGGATTAAACTAATCCACCCTTTGGATTAAAAACATTTGCTGTATCATAACACCCTACGGTACATTGATTAAAACTTCAAAGAGGCACATTATTATCAGTGAAATTCAGTACAACCTGAGATACACACCTTCCACAAGTAAAAGCACTTTGATATAAAAATATATAAAACATCCATGAATACCCAATCTGGATCAGAGATTGGTTACTTCCATCATTCTTGGAAACAGCTTCATTGGATTATAAAGGGTCAAATTAACCTGTGCTCTCAGGACAAAAGGCTAGGTGCTACTTTGGTACAAATAAATAATAAGAACACTGTTTCTGATTCTTTTCTGCAAGCATCGTGAAAATCAACTAGGGACATTTTAAATCATGATTGTAGATGAAATATATGACTCAGAGATGACTTTTTGCAGGATGGCATGTCTTTATTCCTGGCTTCTGTATAGTGTTTAAGAAGCGATGTTTTTGTTGTCATCATCGTCGTTGTCATCTACATGGTAGCTAGTTTTAAGAAGGAATTCACTGCTTATTAGAGCTGGCTGAAAAATTTCTGACAGAACTGTTTTCCATTGGAAAATGCTGATTTGATAAAATTGAAATGTTTTTGGGGGGGAACGTATCAATTATGTCAACATTTTTCAAAAATTATCAATATTTTTCATTTTTAATGTCAAGCACTTTGTTTTGATAAAGTCACATTGTTTAATTTCAACTTTTTTGTTTCAACTTTGCTATTATATAAAAGCCAAAATGATCAATTCAAAACAAAGTACTTCCACCTTTCCAAAATGAAATGAATCAATAGGATTGTTTTGACAGTTCTGAAATGAAATTTTTCAGAAACTGTTTCATGTTTCAATTTTCTATTCCAATTCAGCAAATCAGAATGTTAGAATTTCCATTCCATGAGAAATTTCGAGTTTTTCTGGTGCAAAGCAAGCAACAGCATCTGGTGATGGCAGAGTGAAACACCTTATTGGGCATGCACAGAGTGCCATGTACTGCCTCATGGCTGTTACAAAATGTTTGCATTGTTATGACTGAAGATGAGCTTCTACGAGTTGCAAAGTAGAAAACCTATAGCTGTAATGAAATCTGTTATTTGCATGTGTGTTATCTGCATCCTCTCTATTCCTAGGCGCATAAAGATCCCCGAGTTTGGACTTCTGTATGGGTGAACTGTGTATTTTGTAACTTACTTTCATTTTTTATAGCTTTGGGCATGTTTTAAATGTGAGGCCCAGTTCTATCTTGCAATGTAGCCCCTTTAAATTGCTTTGGCAGTTTAAGTTGGACCATGACGAATGCAGGAATATCTCTTGTACAACAGAGCTCCCTGGCTTGAATACAGCTTTTCGGGTGGCCCAGAGCCAGCCCCCTTCTCAGTTCCTAGCGTAGAGGCTGTGATGTGAACAAAAGGAGACAAGGTGGGAGCAGAAGGAGGCATTCCAGAGGAGGGGGAGTGGCTGAAGTCCTCTGCACTGTGGCCAGGCCTGTCAAGATAAATTTGAGGCCCTAATGCATCATGTTCTTTGGGGCCCCACTCCCTCCCATTTCATTTCATTTACACAGATGTTTTGGTTGACCACAAGCTCAGGGCCCTGACATAACTTTCCCTCTTTACCCCTGGCTGTGTCCATTCTCTGCTTCCCATGGCACATGTGGCTCTAAGGAAAAAAAGCATTAATTAGAGCTGCCCTAAGGTCCTCTAACTCTCACTGAGCATAGTCAGACCCCACAGCTGCCCCAGAAGATGGGGAGTGTGCCTTCTATGCACTGGAACAGAAGAATGCAGAACTGGAGCCAAAAGTTACAATGCAAAAAATCAACAGATCCACAGATCTATGTATGTCTTATACAAACCATTGCAATGTTGCTTGGAACAGATCCTGTTGAGAACTTTGCTTATGAGGACTTATCTATACCTCAAAATAAAGGATCTTTGAGAGGAACATCACTCATAACTGGGTGACAAAATGACACATGAAATTCAATGTTGATAAATGCAA